TTAGCACCCTTAAGGACCCTAAACTATGTGAACTATAGTATATTCCTTATTATGGGGCAACGCAGGATTTGTATCATCAAAACCCTAAACCCTAAACAGTAAAACCCTAAACCCTAAAACCCTAAAACCCTGAACCCCAAACCTGATAAACCCTAAACCCTCAACCCTAAACCCTAAAGAGGCCCTCTTGGGGGCAAGCTGCCAGGTCATCCCGAAAGCGCAAGAAAGCAGAGCAGTGCTCCCACAAGATGGGCCAGGCCAGGGAACTTGGGACGCCACCTTTGGGTTTAGGCGTTTAGGGGTTTAGGGGTTTAGGGCTTTAGGGCTTTAGGGATTTAGGGTTTAGGGCTGTAGGGCTTTGGTTTAGGGGTTTAGGGCTTTAGGGGTTTAGGGTTTTAGGGGTGGGTTTGAAGGCTTTGGGCCTAGGGTTTAGGGATTTAGGGTTTTAGGGCTTTGGGTTTGGGGCTTTAGGGTTTTAGGGAGTTAAGGATTTAGGGTTTAGGGTTCAGGGTGTAGGGTGTGTAGCGGTTTAGGATGTATGGGACCGGGCGTCTTCTAAATCAAGGGTTCTGGAAGGGCTTCTGTAGGGATTCTGCACAAATCTTCTAGGCTTTTGTCAACGGGTCGATCAAGCTTTGATACGGGTTCTGTGCGGGTGCTTCGGGTTGTTTATGGGGAGAGATGCTTTCATCAAAATGTATGACGAGTATGTAAGGGCTTTGCAATGTAAAGGGGGTAAGAGTTTGCAACACAAGAGCCTACTGAGGGCTTTGTAAAGGGTCTTACCTATAAGAGGCTTGTGTACGGGCCTACATCCCCTAAACCCTGTATCAACCCCGAGCCCCCATCACAAGCCTTACTTCATAACCCTAAACCTTAAAGCCCTAAACCGTTGAAGCTTACCCTAAACCCTAAACCCTAAAACCCTTAAACCCAAAACCCTTAAACCCTTAAACCCTAAAACCTTGAAGCCCTAAACCCTTAAACCCAAAACCTTTAAGCCCTTCAACTCCAAATCTGCTTATCAAAAAAAAGGCTTCAGGGATACTACTGGGCAGCCAAGCCACAGGCCAAACCTGCCACCATCGTCTCCAAGTCACCACCTACCTGGGGTTGTAAGGCTTTGCTGGGGATCACCTACAGTTTTATGGGTTCTACCTACTAAGTAAGGGGTAATGGCTGCTAAACTGTAGGTAAAGCGAGTTNNTTTTTTTTTGGGGGGGGGGGGTACATAAGGACTATAACGATTTTAACTTGAAAGGGCTCTCCTTACAAGGGGCTCCGTAGGGGCGTATAAAGGTTGTGTTCAGCTTGATGCACTCTTCAGCCCTTTATAGGATGCTGTACGATGTTATCGGAATTCTAAAGATTTTAGGGTGTTGTGCTAATGACAAGTGCCTACCGGTGGCTCCAACTAGCTAGGGTCCCACCATGATGGAGGTCGCGCGATGCCAAGGACGAAGCAAAAAGGTGCCAAGTTTACAACCACGGCGGTGCCGATGTGAGGCTTTCGCTATATCCTGCTAAATCCAAAAGCGACATCAAGACCCATAATCAAAGAGGTTTTGACACTAGCCTAAACCCAAACCCTACACCCAGATGTGAGAATATAGCATACTTATGGAACTCATACACTCTTAACCCTAAACCCTAAA